TTACCACATGCAGATGATATTTCTGAATTTATTTTTCCATAAATGGACAGCCCCCAGATTCTACTCTCTAAAACTAAAAACTGCAGCTCTCTGTCGTTTTTCGTTAACAACTTATAAGCAAAACATCGGACTGCACGGTTCATTGAAAAGGATAGTAGCATAAAGTTAAATGTTCTTGGTACTCACATAGCCACCTCCCACATATGTTCCTCCAATTGCACTATTTAACGCTGAAACGTCTGCCACCGGTCCTATGATCAATGACGTTCCCGTATCAGCAATGGCTGAACGTCCAGACGATACGGTTTGACCATTAACTGTAACACTAGAAAATATGAATGGGAAGCTTTATCAGAAACCCTAGGAAAATATTTTTTGTTGCACTATAAGCTAAAAGGAAATTCTTACCTTGTCGTAGTGAATTCCCAAAAGCCTTGTAAATTTACAGACACATAAGTAATTGATCCTTGGTATTTTGTTGAATCTACACCGCCCAGAATAAGTTCCCCGCCAAACGAAGCTGATGTTAATCTAAACAGAAGAGAACTTACTTGAAAATTAGAAGAAAGCAAAATTTTTGCTACTTACGGATTGAAATAGAATGAGAATATTGCCTGTGAGATTAAACTTTGAGTCCACATGTTGTAAAACAGAGGTTGTTCTCCACCCGTGGCCACTGAGGGATAGGCCATACCTAACAGCCCATCATGGGCTAATGAACTAAATCCAGACGTAATTGTGACTTCTGCAAAAACTTGTCTTGTGACGGCTAAGCCAGCTACCTATTCAAGTTAAACTTTAACATGACATAAGATGTAGTTAGCGAAATACTAATGCCTTACTGTGACAGTATCTAGATCGAAGTGTCCAATTGCATAGGAACCATCTCCATAAATTATTGAAAAAGACGTTCCATTCGCGCGATACGTAGATGATCTTGTACTGTAATACTTGTTTTTGTTTGCTGAAAATAAGATCAACATTGTGTGTTTCTCACCACAGATATTCATTTTAATTAAGAATGGCAAGATTGAAAAGTTTTGAAAGTTTGGTCTCTCTGTCTACATCTCACAAAAGTCCACAATCATTTCTGAAGTCTTTTCAAGTTGGTAATATGAAGAGAGTCATGTCTTTTCAAATACCTTTCAATTAAGTGTATGATAAAATTAAAACATTTTTACTTACCGCATGATGAACTACAACTACTTGATGGTACCCATAAATCGGACGAGCCCGTATCGAAATCGATAATAAACGTCTGTAGTGGCGTGCCAATAGCTATGTAGCCAACCCAATAATACTGAAAAAAGACAATAAGTTCATTTTAACTGAGCGTCTAAAAGTTCATTTTAACTTACATCGTATACATCGGTTAAATTTTCATACGCTAATCTTGAAGTAACTGATAAATATTTTCCAAAACGTCTTGATACCGAACCAGTCTGATTTGTATCGTTGTTTACGATAGATTCCTGAGTTAAACGTTTAGCCGGAATTCTATTATTGAGAGAACAAACTTGGTTTTAAAAACAGCTATTCTATTATCAGAATGTCTTACCTTACCAATTGAGAACTGCCATAACTCGCATATAATGACAAGAAATATCTTGTTGTAAAACTCCATGGAAATGAAAATTGTTTTCATCAACTGTATGTGTTTTCGAAAGTTATTGAGTTTATAATGTTGTAAGGTGAAACAGGAAAAACGTCATCGCGTTGGAAGAAAAAACTTTCTGTGAAAAATAATAAACTCAAAAAGTAAAATTTCATAAACAAATTTCGCTATTTTCAATCACATCATGTTTTCTAATTTCAACTTATGATTTTTTTTTCTCTTTGTGTACTTACAATCGATTTAAAATAATAAAATCTCAAGTGAAAAAAGAAAACCTTGAGTTATTGAGTATTGTACAGATTGTTTGTCTATAAAGGAAACAAAAAAATTATAAATGTTTAGTATAGAATACGATGCCGATGGAAAAGGCAAAGTTTGTTTATGTATTATTACTTCCTAAGTATCCTGTTCATTATTCATCAAATGTTACATCAGGAAATAATGACACCTTGTCCGTTTACAGGTATATAAATAACTGATTCTTGGTATTCATAAATATTTTTATGAATTTGTAATTATTGTTTTATTTTTTGAATCTGAGATATTGGATGACTACACCCTGCCACTAAATAAACGGAACACCTACATCTACCTTGTTTTAAACACTTTTTCTCAACAAATTTTGTTGAAGGCATGTGTAGAAGCAGATGGAGGCCATTTTGAATAAATCTTTTTATTTATTGTTGTTTCTG